ATGAAGATGTTTGATGTAATTCATGTATCATATATATACAATTTAATAAAGACTTGCATCTAATGCCCTTTTACGTAAAAAAAAAAAAAAAAATATAAAATATAGATATAATATAAACTTTTGTTAGTTGATCTTTTTTTTTTTTAATTTTTATAGTTGGATTTATTTAATTATATTTTTGTATTTTTCAATAGTTTTAATTGCTTTAAAAAATATATATTTATATTTTGATTATTTATATATACTGTATATAAATATAATAGTAAATGAATATAGTTTTAAATAAAATATTAAAATAATACTGACTTGATATTAACTTATAATAAATTTAATATTTAGGTTATAATCCACTATATTAAACTTATGTAAATCCAATATCAATTTGATACTGAAATAGTATTATTAGAAATCCTATATATGGATCAACAATATGTTTAATTATTAGTTTGTAATATTTTATATTAATTAAGTTTAAATAAAATTTTGCTAATTTGTCTACTAACTTATAGAAGTAATTATTCTTGTATATTGTTTTATTTGTTTTGTTTTATTTAATTAAGATGTTTAACTCTTTGAATATTATATACCAATTTCAAATAAGTTTGTTTTTAATTATTTTATTACTATTTTTTTTATTCTGTTTATCTAATTTATAAGTATTATAAATCTGTTTCAATCAAAATTCAACAGTTTGGTTTAACAATTAATATTACAATTATAATAATTATAATTTCTGATTTGAAAGCTGATATTTGTTTTATTAAATGAATATTAAACTTAATTATGAGTTTATTTTCTTGTATAATTGTTATATCTGTATTATTTATATATATATATATATTTTTAAAGTTGAAAGGTACAGTAGCACATAATCTTTTATTGAGTAATTTATATCCAACAGTACAGTACTACAAGGTCTATTTAAGTTAACCCGCACCTTCACATCTTTACATCTCTGGATTTTAACTCCTATCGCTTAACAATTAGTCAACTTGATCCGAGAGGCAAATCTATAAGGTGTAGAAATCCTACTACTAGTTTTAAACTATCTAACCTATTCTAGATTTGGCTCATAAGTGGAAGAATAATGCTTACGGAAGTTGATTCAAGTACCTTCTTTTACCTTATTGCCTGAACCTCAGATTACCATTTGTACCAAGTCTGAGCTCACACAAGTTATGATCCTTCTCACCACCTGCAGCAGGTGTTACTCTTTTAAGCTCTGCACCAGATTGGGATATCCCAGGCTAGGGATTCAACTACTATTGGTCGATTGTCATACAGAATTGATTAGGATAGAGTACAGCCCTATCTGTACATCTAAACGTTTGATATGTCATGTTTTTACCAATGATCATTATGCATCAACCAGACGATCATTGTGCTATATTGCTTTCTTTGAAAATTACAATCTCAACATCCATTGAATCAGTGTGTGAATCAGCTTCCTATGAGAAACAGTGCATTTCAGGTCATGGCGCCAGATACCATATTAATTCTATTCAACTGCCTTCACCTGGAGTTGAACCGGTATCTTGTGATTTGACCTGTGGAGCACTAACCACTGTGCTATAGACCCACAGGTCTATATTATCAATATGTTATTACACACAATAATTTTAAATAATATAAATGGTTTGATGTAATAGTATGTATTCATCTTGAGATTTATTTTTCCATAATTGGATCTTGAATGATAACCATAAACGTTTTGCATGAGAATAGTCCAAGTATTGGGGTAATTATGCAGGAGTATGAGTTGAAACTTTATCAAAAAAGATTCTATAAGATTTTAAAACGTTCTTTATTTTTGATTTAAATGTGATTAAAGAAGAATAAGCCTTCGATTAGATTTTTTATTATGCCTAGAGAAAATTGTTTAATGAGAATTAGGCGCCAGATACATTCAGGTCTCAGGGACCCATCATGGGAAACTATCACACTTTTTCAAGACAGGATGAGAATCTTGAAACATTAAATTAATCAATACATCTGTTGTCAAGTGCATTATGATGAGAGAATAGGAGTTCTAGAATGGGAGGTGATGGATTTATGAGCTTTAAAGCAAGAGATAAAAGGTTTACAGGTGTTGTTGGAGATGCTCCGTGATGCTCATAGTTTACACAATTATAATAAAGAGTTGGATCTAGAAAACATGAACCTGAAAAATAGGATAACTAATTTGGAAAGACTGTTGAATTTAATAGGTACTCCTATACCTGTACCATTCAATAGGACCTTTTCCTCTTTTCAACTTAATTAGAGATTTGTGTTTCAAATTGTATTTTGTTTATATCATATAAGTTCTTGGATTTATTATGGATAATGTGATAGTTGCTGAGTATGCTTAGTGGGCTGGCTGTAATGGATAGGGAGTGCTCAACAGGCCATTTCCATTACACCACATTATTCGCTTGTTTCTTTAAGCTTTTAGATGTTTATTTCATACAAGAATTCAATGATACTTGTATTTTAATTATACAAGTTGAGGACTGGGTTACCAAAGTATCTGCATCTATGTTACGTAATCTGGATACTGATATTATTCAGTAACTAAAGGGTGCTTTTACTATAGTATTGATAGAATCTTGTAAAAAATATTTTTTTTTTCGAATTTTTTTAATAAAAATTTTTAATTTGTATAAATAGATACAAATTTAAACTTGATTATTTAATTTTTTAAAAAAATAAAAATTCCATCTTTGAAGTTGTTAAGAAAAAATTTATATAATGAAAAAAGATGTATTGACTTTTTAATTAAGAAAGAAATTTTGGTAAAACCAAATATGCATATTATGTAATTCTCCTATTTATTATTACAAAAAAATTTTTACATGTGTAAATCATCAATGTTGAAGGTCTGCTTCTATCTTTAAAAATACATTTTTCACTAAAAGTTATCTTCAATGCTTGGATATAATACTCATAGGATATTATTGGCTATGTGATGCAAATTATACAACTATTTTAAATATGACCAATTACTGCACGCATATGATTTCAAATTATATGAGATATTTTTGTGAAATGGTTATTGAGGCACTTAGTGATGATGATTTCATTATTGGTAATAATGAAATTGTTGTAGAGATTGATGAGTCGAAATTCAGTAGAAGAAAGGAAACTGAAGGCATTTGGGTTATTGATGGAATTGAAAGAACCGATAAAAGAAAATGTTTCTTTAAGGTAGTTGATTAAAGAAATGCGAAAACAATTAGAGATATTGTTTCAAAACATATTAAATCTGGATCTATAGTGGTAACAGATTATTGGAGAGATTATCAAAATCTTGAAGATTTTAATATAACATATGAAACTGTAAATCATTCATGAGAATATATAAATTCAAATAGAATGCATACAAATACAATTGAAGGAACTTGGAGAGGGTTGAAAATACAAATTCAGCCTCAAAATAGAGGTGTTGAATCAATTGAAAAGTATTTATTGGAATTTATTTGGTGACAAAAACATAAAGATAATTTATGGGAGGGTTTCTTGATGCATTGCATGTGATCAAATATGAATAACCAATCATATTTGATTTTTAAGCTAATTGAATCTTATTGTAAATTAGATTTTAAAAAATAGAAATTTTCAAAAATTCCAGTTACGACTTAGATTCGCTTTTCATTCTAATCTTGAAAATAGAAATTTTCAAAATATCAATTACAATTTAGATTCATTTTAAAAAGAAGATGAAATTATCAATTTTGATGTCTTTTATTAACATTAAGTCATTTTTTTTTATCAAGTTTATGATTTTCTTAATATATACAGATTTTCTATACTCATTTTATAATAAATATGACACATCTGTAATTTTCCATTATTTAAAATGATAAAATATTACTATTATCACCCAAAACAATCATATTGTTAAAATTGTCTTTCAATTCTTATAATTGGTAATATTTTTTATAAATATTTTATATTATTGATTGATATGTTTATTATTTTAATTTTAATTTTTCTTTTACAGATCCATTATATCTCTTCTTGATGCTATTGAAGATGATCTTTCACAAAATCAAAATATCTCCTTAGAAACTCAAGAATTGTTTCGTGACCTCCGAATTAATATTTCAAATCTTAATTGTTCAGAATGTGATATTTCTATTATGATTCATAACATTATTCTAAGTTACTTTCTGACATTTTTTGTAAATCAACCTGTTGAAAGAATTATTGATTCATTTTATATTTATTTAACTCATTTTCAAAATATTTATCAATGATCTATTAATGCACTCCTAAGTATTATTGCGACTCTTAGATCTGAATTTTTAACTATTCAAGAAGAGAATAAATCTCTTTAAAATGAAAATAAATCTCTTAAAAAATTAGTTGATAGGTTCTCTTGAGAAGTTGATCATAATTCTCAAAAAATGATTTCTCTTAAATTTGAAAATGCTGCTCTTATTGAGCAAAATGAATCTTTTCGCAAATTCATTGATAGTATTAAAAGACCTTTATTTTTTAAACTCAACAATATTATTTTACTTAAGGTTTCTTATATTATTAATCACGATTTATAATTTTCTATTGCAAAAGAATCAAATACTTTATTGTTAAAGATAAAAATATTCCAAATATAAAGGATATTAAAAAATACATTTTCGAAAAAATAAATGTCTCATTATTCTCTATATTTTATAAAATTTATACACAAGTTATCTATATCCATTAATATAATTTTATATATCAATTTCTCTATAGATCCTTTTACTTCGCTTGTAAATTGTTCTTTAGTTGGTATTACGATTATTCCTATTATATCTTCTTGTAGTTCACTCAAAGTTTTCTTCAACTTTCGTGTTATACTTGGCCCTGCATTTAATAATTTATCTTAGATTTTATTTTGCAAAAAGATCTTTAAGAATGTTTATAATAGGTCATTCATAATATATCAAGTCTTTACTTGACTGATAACTTTCACAAATCATGGCCCGATGTGCTTTCATTAAAGTCTTTTATGACTTAAATGCCCTTCAGTGCCCTTATATTTTTTAAAATGCGGCGACATAAAGAGTTATAGTGATTTTAAATCTAGTAAGTTTTTATTACTTATCAATTTTAACATTCATCCAACATTTAACCTGTATTATAAACCTTCTTTTTAGGATCATCCCTTTAATATCTATCCCATTATCATTTTTTCTTCCAACCCTTTTTGCCTCGATATTGATTTTTTTTAACTTTTCTAATACTTGTTTTTTAAAAGAAACTCCTTTAGCTACAAATGAGATTTTTGATGTGTTCATTTTTAAATAAATAAATATTCCTTTTATCTTTTTTTATTAGACTTTGATATACTATTTTATTCTTGTATTAAAGTTCAGTTTTCTTTGTTATTAAAGAGTTAATTTTGTTAGTCATAAATGCATCTTTTTATTGTTTTAAAAAGCTGCGTATGTGGTATACTCTCAATAATTACCATGCATTTTATTGATTTTTTTGGTTCTATTATTACAACCTCCTTTTTCTTTTATAGTCCCAAAATTATTTTTAAATCTTTGATAAAATAATGATTATCAATATCACGACTTTTCTATCATGTGGCCTTACAAGCTGTCTTGTGAATTGTAGATTAACTAATATTTTAATTTCAAAATTGAAAATTTTTTTAAAAAATATGTTATATAAAATTAAATATCAAATTAATTCTTTTAAGCTTTTTATAAATTTCTATAATAAATATCAATTTAAGTTTTTAAATGAATATTGAATTTTTAAGATAAAATTTCGATTTCAAGTTTATAATATTTTTTTTATAATTTTTATATTATTTTTATTATAATTTTTACAATATTTTATAAAGTTATTTAATAAAAGAGAATTATATGACGTATAATATATACATTAGTGGATAAATAGAGGTTAGTGAAATGTGACATCATTTCACTCAGTATTACCTTTTTAATATATATATATATTATTTTTTTAATAAATTCATTAATTAAGTTAAAAGTTGTAATTTTTTTAAAAAAAATTTTGTAATCTTATTTTTGAATTAATTTTTTTTAATGATATTTTTAACTTTAAAATAAAAATATTAAAAAATTCTTATTATTATTTAAAATTATTTAATTGGTTTTTTTTTATTATATTTTCAAAATTAAATTAATAAAATATTAAATTATAAAAAAAATTATATATAATTAAAATATAATTATAAAAAATTGTCATTTTTTTTTGCACCATACTGTATATATTAAATTTATATAAATATTATAATTAATATAAAAGATACAGTATATATAAATATAACTTGTAAAAATATTATGAATATGAGAATATAAATATAATAATTTTAACAAAAACTAGATATTTGAAATATATTTATCAAAAAACAAAAGAATTATATTATTTCATGAAATGATAAAAAATATAAATTCACAAACTTGTTTTAAACATATTACATTTTTATAAATTTTTTTTAATTTATATTATAGATAAAAAAATAGGCAATATATGTTATTTGATTTTTTAATTTCTGAAAATCATTTATAATAATAAATGAATGGTAATTTATTAATACTGTAGTTATGAAATTTTAACTGTTTCAATTATCATAAAATATTTTATTTTTAAAAAATATTGATCATAAGTTTTTCATATTATTTTTTTCATAATATTGGAATTGTCAAATTATAGAATTAATTATACAATGATTCTAGTACGTAAGTATTACCATCATTTTGATTGTCGCTTATTTAAATTTTTTTATAATTACAATGTCACGTAATTTTTTTGTCTTAAAAATTTTAAAAATTTATTTATTAAGTAAATTGTAGTTTATTTCACTATAAAAATAATAAATAATAATTTGAGGTCAAATTTTTTAATAAAATTAATAATTCGATAACGTGACTTTTCATGCCATGTACCCGAAAATAAATGAATTATCTTTTAAATTATCTGTTAAAGATAAAACTGTGATTTTATTTGAACAGTGGAAATCTATAAAGAAAAAAACGACCTAAGATAATATAACAATCAATTATAATTATAACTTAAAATTATAAAATTAATAAAGAAATGGTTAATTGAGTAGTGTAATTCAAGTTGCAATTTTCAACAAATTAAAAACTTGACATTACGCAGTTGCTGATCTAGGGAGGTGATAACTAAAAATTTAAATTTAAAGCATTATTACTATCATTTAGTTACTAGAAAAAAATTTAGTTTATCTTTAGTAAATTAATACACATACTATAAAATCATTTATTCACACTAGAATAATCTTGAAATTGCCAAGAATGTTTTATTTAACTTGTTAGTTTGGGCTACAAATTCCGTAAAGGGATTGACAGTCCAAAATACGAATCACGTTTTTCTTTCTAGTGCATATCGATTGCTGTTTATGGATACATAGTTCGGAATTTAAGAATCACAGTCTTTATCAGGCGCAAACTTTTTTGATGACATTGAAAGATGCTCTTCATTTTTATTATCTTTTTCAACTTCTTGACTTTCGCATAAAAATAACGCGATTTAGATATAAATTTAAATAACCTTGACGTATAAAAAAACCAAATAACCCAACTGACCTCTTACGCTTTCCAGTGGCTCTCGGCTTGGGACCCCAATATTTTTCGGGATTTTGTTGGTATCTGACTAATTTGATCTTTCTTGAGGGTGGCTCGGCATCTTTGTGAATAGAGAAATCCGCGATGAAGCTAATGACGGAGCAATGAAATGAAAAGCAGATATTAAAAATGATGTCCTAACGGAATATTGAAATCGTGATTTAAACGAACCTCGGTTCAGCTTCTAATAATTTTTTTGCTGGTGAATTTTCTTTAATATTTTTCATTGTGACTGGATGAAGCCTAATCTATAAATATATATGTATATAATGAATTGAATACATAAAGAAAATATTAATATAAGATGCAAACAATTATCTTACCCATGATCGAATAATATCCCATATTATGCTCATCGGTGCATCCGTTTTTATGGATCCCGCTGCTGCATGAGATGCAGATACTTTATAACCCTTATTTAGAAGCGCCGAACTGTATAAAGAATAATTAGAAATCAAGAAGAAAGAACTAACCAAACATTTGGTTATTTACCAGAAAACCTTTAATGGCGGATTCGTGCAATGAATTGTACCACATATATTTGCAAGATTGTGATATAGAGGACTATCAATTTCCTATGTACAATAAGAAATTATTGTAAAATCATAATGCGTTACAAACGTTATGAATCTATAATTTAATTCTTACCTCGGAAATCACCGTCAACATACCCAACATCCTGGGATGGGTTTTATAAGCCTCTTCGTTAGATGCTTTCACATGATCTAGCATCTTACAAACAAATTCTTTATCATGAAGTGCATCATTCCACATAGGCCCTCCTACCTGAAATGAAAATTGTTCTTATTGTTAATACGAAATAATGTTTTTAAAATAGCGAATAAATTACGCGACACCTGAAATGAACTTTGACAGTGTTCACAGCGTTTATCAACAACTGGACCGGACACTGGTACAAAAGTTTTCTTGTCGGTTGCTTTGGCAAGGGGCTGCATATAATGCGAATGACATCCATTGCATACATACAGCATGGATGTCTTACTAAAATCCAATAAAGTCAATATCATAGAAACATTTTTCAGAGGCTATGATTTTCTTTAAAAATTACGTACCAAGGATTCTTCTTTACTTCAACAGCAGCCGTAAAGACCCTTACAAAAACACGAATGTAAAAGTCAATGCTACAACACATAAGCGGTAATATACGCCGCTGATACCTAGCAGCTGAAGTAGATAAAGTGTGTAGAAGAATTCGAAGTGCCTTTATTTTCAATAATAAAAATTTTAGTAAAGAATATCCCTCCTGGATAAATTAATAAGATATATCCAAACCATTTCGTGACAGAATTCTCCTCGAACAGGGATAGCTCCATAATTTGCATAACTGAGTAGTAAATAATATTATTAACAAAGGTTTAATCCAAACGAAAATCTTCATGAATAAATACCATTTTTCGGGATAATTTGAACCCGTTAAGTTAGCCAGATCGGTACATGTTATACAAAGCAAACCTAAGGTAGGTAAAATAAATTACTTTTGCAATGGCATGAAATAACCATTTTTAAATTTAAAATTAAATCAATTACCTCCATCTTCTACAGCTTGCACAGTTCCATCAATAAATGGTGCCGCGGTTCCATATGGGTCAAGGTCTATTACATCAAATCGATCCGGATGTTTTCGGTGCTGATATAAAACCGAACTTTTTTAAACTATGGAAGTTAGTAACGTGTATCAAACATTATAATTATAGTATGGTCTCTGTGCTTACCAAGCATCGTCCTGATTTACCCTTAAAAGGTCCTTATCTAATCCGTTGTATTTGATATTTCGGTTCATGGATTCAACAGCATCAGAATCTAGATCATTCGCCATAATGAATTTTATATTTGGAATTTCTTTTGCGTAACGAATTGATCGCAATCCGCTAGCGGCTAACGCTTCTAAAATTGTGAAGTTGTAAGGCTTGTGATATCAAGAACAAGCATTAATATTAGCATCTTAATTATTTTAAAAAAATTCAGCCCTGATCCGCAAACACTAAATTCACAAATACTTACTTTCGAGTCAGCTGGCTCGAAGGAAAAAATCTACTTAATAAGCATCAAACGACTATTAAAATTTGAGAATAACTAATTCAAATATTGTACATTGAGAAGCTCTTGTATCTTGTTGCTTCTTTCTCTGCGCTTTGCGTCTTCTTTCTTCAGAATAAATTTCACTCCATGTTTTTATGGCCGCGATAGACATGTCCCGGTTGAATTGTTGTACATTGTTATAGAATACTTCGTTATTCTTTGGGAAAAGAATGTTGGCTTTGCCTTCTGTGATCACACTAAAGTCTCCGTCTAATGTTACCATATTAGAAGTAGTGTAATTTTTATACGCATTCCTGTTTAGAAAACTTCTGGTCAAACGAATCAAATGGTAACGTTTATGGGACATATCTACTGAAGTGCTTATATGTTACACATAAAAATGATCGACTTAATCGACGGGTAAAATCTTATCTTAAAATTCAGCGTCAGTACTCATTAATACCATAGAATTAATTTTTTTAAAAAATAAATAATAAAATTGATTATGAAAATTAATTTAAAAATTTCTTAAAATAAAACGAGATTTTTAGAATTTTTTTTTTGTTAAAATTGCGATTTCAAATCTTATATGTGATTTTAAAATTTATTCCTAATTTTTACGATTACATTAAAAATAAAAATAATTATTATTATTATAGTTATTATATTTTACATGTTTTTTATTTATTTCCCTGCTCATTATTTCTTTATTTAGAATCATAATTAAATTTAAAATTATAATCAATGTATTTCTAATAATTTAATTGATAGCTACATTTTTTATTTATTTAATAAAAAAATTTTTTTAAAGAACGTTTGAATTATTTCTTCATGCTTTACTGCATACCACTGCTACAGTATCTCGGGTACTAATCATTCCACTTGAAAGGTTACTTAAATAAAAAAAAGCAAAAAACCGGAAGGAGTTCTACGTATTCAAGGGAGATTATTGCATACAGTGCCTACGGTAATCGGCTACCATAGATGGACAAAAATAGTATTTTTTAGCGCTTACATGCTTTTATATTCTTTACTGTATATGGGTAATTATTTTCGAAGGCGGACCGGAAATTTTCTGGCGTGATCCTAAAATATACTATATAATGTATTGTTTAAAAGTTGGGTCTGAAAAAATTATATCTAGCATTTTTGTCGCCTTCAAAAATAATTGCCCATATAGTTACTCATATCGTCTATAAAATTTATTCTTCTATAGTCTAAAACATGTATAGTACATAAGTGACGTGAATACTTAACAAAAATAAAGACAAGTTTTTAAGAATTGTTTTAAGAGTTTAAATCGTATATAGAAGCCGTGAACCAACTGATCAAATAATAGCTTGATTGTACGGTAATGGTTAGCACGCATACTCGATCATAAACTTACCTATTGTGGACCCAAAATACGTACCCAATTAGTAACACAAGGTATCTGTCATACCTAAGAAAATCACTTAAAAGGTCGTTAACAAGAGTCAAAGATTACCACAAGTTGATCACTCCTTACAGTAACATCTTAACCAGTAAGGAATAATAAAAGGAATCTAAGCGAAGGAAATCATCAAACATAGTCTGAACCATGAAAGATGATAAAGAGTTTCAAAAGCATTAAAAAATCTGCCAAACGCGGAAATGCAAGTGAACAAAATACTCTTGGATATTATTATCAGAACGAAATCGGTGTAAATAAAAACAATGAAAAGGCATTTCAATGGTATTTCAAAGCTGCTGAAGGTGGAAATACTGATGCACAGAACAATCTAGGATTTTGCTATCAGAGTGGTGTTGGAACTGCAAAAAATGAAGTGGAAGGATTTTTTTGGTACTTAAGGTCAGCTGAAAGAGGAAATAGCTTGGGACAGAGAAATCTTGGGTATTGTTACAGAAATGGAATTGGAACTGAAAAGGATGAAACAAAAGCATTTCATTGGTACTTGAAATCGGCTGAAGGTGGAGATACTGGTGGACAAAATAATCTCGGATGCTGTTATTTTTATGGAATCGGAATCATGAAAGATGAAGTGAATGCATTTTATTGGTATTCAAAATCATCCGAAGGTGGAAATATCAATGGACAATGCAATCTTGGAATTTGCTATCAAAATGGAATTGGCACAAGAAAAGATCAAAAAAAAGCATTTCAATGGTATCTGAAATCTGCTGAAGGTGGAAATAACAATGGGCAATGCAATCTTGGAATTTGTTACGAAAAAGGAATTGGCACAATAAAGGATGAAGAAAAAGCGTTTTATTGGTATTCGAAATCAGCTGAGGGTGGGAATACTAATGGGCAATGCAACCTAGGAATTTGTTATGAATATGGAGTTGGCACAAGAAAAGATGAAAAAAAGGCATTTGACTGGTACACAGAGTCAGCAGAAGGTGGAAATAATAACGGCCAATGCAATCTTGGAATTTGTTATGAAGATGGAATTGGAACCACGAAAGATGTTAAGGAAGCATTCAAATATTATTCGAAATCAGCTGAAGGTGGAAACAGTGAGGCGCAGAATAGACTTGGTTATTGTTATGAAAATGAAATTGGAATTATTCGAGATGTGAAAAAAGCCTTTCAGTGGTATCTGAAATCAGCCGAAGGAGGAAATAATAATGGACAATGCAATCTTGGTATTTGTTACGAAAAAGGAATTGGCACAATAAAAGATGAAGAAAAAACGTTTTATTGGTATTTGAAATCAGCCGAAGGTGGGAATGCTAATGGGCAATGCAACTTAGGAATTTGTTATGAATATGGAGTTGGCACAAGAAAAGATGAAAAAAAAGCATTTGACTGGTATACAAATTCAGCTGAAGGTGGAAACAGTAAGGCTCAGAATAGACTTGGTTATTGTTATGAAAATGAAATTGGAATTATTCGGGATGTGAAAAAAGCATTTCAGTGGTATCTGAAATCAGCCGAAGGAGAAGATGCCGTTGGCCAATATAACCTTGGAATTTGTTACGAAAAAGGAATTGGCATAATAAAAGATGAAGAAAAAGCATTTTATTGGTATTCGAAATCATCAGAAGGTGGGAATACTGATGGACAATACAACCTTGGAATTTGTTACGAAAAAGGAATTGGAACCGCGAAAAATGTTAAGGAGGCATTCAAATGTTATTCGAAATCAGCTGAGAATGGAAACAGTAAGGCGCAGAATAGACTTGGTTATTGTTATGAAAATGGAATTGGAATTATTCGAGATGTGGATAAAGCATTTCAGTGGTATCTGAAATCAGCCAAAGGAGGAGATGCCGTTGGCCAATATAACCTTGGAAATTGTTATAGGAATGAAAATGGAACAATGAAAGATGATAAAAAAGCATTTTTATGGTATCTAGAATCTGCTAAAGGTGGAAACAAAAAAGGACAATATTATCTTGGATACTGTTATCGGAATGGAATTGGAACCAAAAAAGATGATAAGGAAGCATTTTTTTGGTACAAAAAATTGGCTGAAGATGGAGACGGCGCTGGGCAGAATATTCTTGGAAATTTCTACATGATGGGAATTGGAATTTCCAAAGACGAAAAAGAAGGATTCAAGTGGTACACAGAATCTGCAAAAAATGGCGATAGTTTTGGAAAATGTAACCTCGGATATTGCTATTTAAATGGGATTGGAACAACAAAAGATGATGAAAAGGCATTTCATTTGTACTTGGAGTCGGCTGAAAATGGAAATAGTAATGGACAAAACAACCTTGGAGATTGTTATCGAAATGAAATTGGAACCACAAAGGATGAAGATAAGGCATTTCGATGGTATTTCGAGTCTGCAGGAAACGGAAACAGTGCGGGACAATTTAATCTTGGATTTTGCTATCAAAATGGAATTGGAACTAAAAGAGATTACAATGAAGCATTTGATTGGTACAAAAAATCCGCTGAAAGTGGAAATAATAATGGACAGAATAGCCTAGGTTATTGTTATGAACATGGAAATGGAATCGATAAAAATGAGATGAAGGCCTTTCTGTGGTATCAGAAGTCTGCTGAAAATGGAAATAGATATGGGCAATTTAATCTAGGAACTTGTTATTTGCATGGAATAGGAACCCCAAAAAATGACGTTGAGGCATTTCGTTGGTACTTGGAATCAGCAAGAAATGGAAATAAATGGATACCTGATTATCAATTAAGAGAAGTGAATTTCTTAGCTCGTGGAGGTTTCAGTGAAATATATACGGCAGATTGGGTACAGGAATCAGGAATTATTGTTAAAGTTGCTCTCAAAAGCCTTCGCAATTCTGGAAACATTACGCCAGACTTTTTAAGAGAAGAAAGTTTAATTGACGTGTCTTTTTTATTTTTTATAATTTATTTTGTTAATCCAACCAATATTGTTATTTATAGGTAATTTTTAACAAAGATGTTAAAGCTGAGAAGTTGATCGTTCAATGTTATGGCATTACAGAAATGAAAAAGGATAACATAAAAGGATATTTGATGGTTATGGAATACGCTGAGGATGGAAGCCTTCATCAATATTTATCAAAAAATTTTGAAAAAATTACGTGGAAAATAAAAATAGAAAAACTATATTACATTGCAAAAGGGTAAGCTTTACCATAAACTAAGTAATAATTATATCGTTTTGTTAATTTAATTACCTTATTTCGGAATAGGCTGAATTGGATTCATAACAACGGGGTGATTCATTGCGATATTCATTCAGGAAATATCTTACTTGGAGTAAATGAGCAAGAATCAGTTCGTATAGCAGATATGGGTCTGTGTAAACAAGCTCGTTCATCTTCTAAATCAGAATACGTATACGGAGTCTTACCTTATATGGCGCCCGAAACTCTTAATGAAAATACGTATACACAAGCATCGGATGTATACAGCTTTGGGGTATTAATGTGGGAATTCACATCAGGTCGTCGACCATTTGAAAATATAAGCCACGATACTTCTTTTATAATAGATATAATAAATGGGCGGAGACCTGAAATCACCAAGGACACTCCTCATATTTTTAGTGATCTGATGAAACAATGTTGGAATCGCGATCCATCCGATAGACCAAGTATGGGTAAAATTGAGGAGCAGATCTACAAATGGCATTTTAATTACGAAAAAGAAAATGATTTCAAACTTGCTGAAGAATGTCGGAAAGACTTGATAAAATCGGGAATTTTGTCACAAATATTCGATGAATTTATCCATCCTGGAGCATTCTACACAAGTAGAATTTTAAAATATGATTCTATGAAAGGTATATAATTTTTATTGTTTTTTAAATTAATGAATGTTTATATAATATAATAATCTAATTG